GCTTAGGAATTCAACAAATATTGATGGAAAATGAAGAAAACGAGTTAAGATTTACTAACCCAAGAAGTTTTGGTGAAAGGGAGCTTCAATGGACGCCTAAAGACCTTGGAGAAGAAGGAGCTCGTGTGTTTTTATGAAATTTCCGTAACTACACTGTTCTGGAAATTAAAATATAAATGGGCAAAATTGCCCTTCGCGTTCGCGGAAAGGGGATCGCGTTCGCGAAGGGTAACTTATCAGACCATCGCGTTCGCGATGGGAGGAGTGCGAACGCGAAGAGGAAAAGATGGGGGAGTCCAGTACTTGGTTTACGCGAACGCGGTGAAGGAGTCCTACAAACTATGCGAACGCGAGAGAATCAATGCGAACGCGATGAAGGGAAAAGTCAGAGCTTCGCGAACGCGAAAGAGGCGTCGCGAACGTGAAGAAGGAACTGGGTCTGCAACAGCTGAAGAATTTCTGCAACTTTCCTAAGTTTGAAACCACCCCGAAACACTTCCGAGCCCTCGGGGCTCCTAACCAAACACATACACTAACTCAACAACATCCTACGAACTCAACCGTTCGATCAAATCGCCAAAATAACATCAAAAACAATGAATCAAACCTCAAGATCACTAGTTTTTCTTCAAACTTCATAAACTTTCACATTTAGAGTTTTTAGTCCGGAACACGTCAAACGACGTCCGTTTTCAACCAAACTTTATAGAAAGCGCTTAAACCATATATAAGACTTGTACCGAGCGCCGGAACCAAAATACCGGCCCGATACCATAGTCTTTTAATCAAAATTCATTTCTCGGGCTTGTGACCTCGGAATTCAATTCCGGGTATACGCCCAAGTCCCATATTTTCCTACGGACCCTCCGGGACCGTCAAATGACGGGTCCGGATCCGTTTGCCCAAAATGTTGACCGAAGTCAAATTTAATCAATTTAATATCAAAATTTAGCATTTTTCTCACAGAATTCATATTTAAGCTTTCCGGCTACGCGCCCGGACTGCGCACGCAAATCGAGGCAACCCTAAATAAGCTTTTCAAGGCCTCGGAAGCACGGAATAAATAGGAAAATATGTGATGACCCTTTGGATCGTCCCATTTTAAGTGTGAAGATGAAGAAAATAGGTTTATGAAAGTGGATGACAGTGACGAGGGTTCCAGAGTTATGTTAAGTATAGAAATTAAAATTAAATGACAAGGTAAAATGGCAATTTTACCCTTGGTCAACCTCCTCCTCTCTTCTAGTATATATATAATAGAGACATATATATATATATATATATATATATATATATATATATATATATATATATATATATATATATATCCCTTAAATTGTAACGTAAAAATCTTTTAATTTGATGAGTATAAATTATGAAAAAAAGATTTAATCTGGTAAAAGGAACTCCACAAAATAATTAACAAAAATAATAAATAATGGAGTAGATGAACATACACAATGAAATAATGCACAAGGGGAGACAAGCTGACAATAAGCCTTTCAACTTTATGTTAAAAATATATAATTGAAAAGGCCCGATGTATAAGAAACACTAAGTTGTCATCTCTAGTGATCATATTGAAGTGCTATTAACTCTTCTTGTTAATCAAAATTACAAGGAGGTTTATTATTCTACGTTCGAGAAATACGATCTTTTAGCCCTTATAAATTTAAATAAATTTTGGATGTTTGAGGATATAAAAAAAAGAATGTAAGTAGTTTGGCCATGATTATATATTTAATCCTTAAAAGTATTGTGGTCCTTAAAAAACCTCTGCAATTTCAAGTAACACCCGCATGAGGATTAAAAAAGAAGGAAGAAGAATAAGAACAAGAAACAGCTGTTAGCCATTGATGGCAAAAGCTAATGAATGAGAAATTAATACTCCCTCCGGTTCAAAATAAGTGATTTTTTAGCCTTTTTTTTGTGGTCCAAAATAAGTGATTTTTCCAGATTTCAAGAATGAATTAATTATTTTTTTCCTACATTGTCCTTGAAGTAAATGGTGTTGGAATATGTATTAGGAGTGTTTATGTGAGATAGTAAAGGTTAATGTGGTCAATTCCATTGCTAATTAATGCTAAAAGGTGGATTTCTTAATTCGTGTGAAAACATCCAAAAAATCACTTATTTCGGGCCGGAGGGAGTACTTACTTATGGTTCAAACTTCCAATAGCTGCGCACAGCTAAAACTTGCGGTCCTAATATTCGTTCTATTTGCCAATCAGGTGGCGACACTCTAAACTTAGCATTAGGTTTTGGCGAAATATATAAACGGCCCATTTAAGTTGTCCCCAACGATCATTTGAACACTTTCACTTTTCAATTGACCAACTAGACACTTCTACTTGCCAGAAGTATATCTTCTGAACCTTTGTGGCTGATGTGGCATATGCGTGTCCGATAGCAAGATTTTGAGCGCGTGAAGTTATTTTTTCAACATAATTTTCTTTTTCTTTGATAGAAAAAGAAATATTTTTCTCTTAGTCTCTCTCCTACTTCATAGCCGATCTCTTCACCTCCATTATTGACCACCATCCATGGCAGCCTTAATCAAGTACCTAAAAAACTATACCACTACAGCTTTATCTAAAACACCCATTTTCTATAATTCTTCTCACTGCTAAGTTACCACAACATAAACACCAATAGCCCTATCACCGTCATCTTCATCACCCCATCATCCTTATCTCCACCAAATAAATACCAACAACCCCTTCAACCACTGCCGATAACAACACATTAATTCCAACATAAATACAAAAACAAGAACCAATTGCTTGAATCGACTAGAAAACAATTTAACGAGAAATTTACACAAAAATAACAAAATAGAAACAGTGATATAAACAAAAATCAGCATCAAAAAGATGATAAAGAGAGAAAGACTGAAGATTTCAATGGAGTCGATTCTTTCAAATTTGCCTAACGAAGGTGGCAACGATAGAGTCCAATCGGTAACACTTCACTTCAACTCCCCCCAAACAATTAAATAAATTGATAAGTTCAAGAGTTCTCTCAGACGTGATAAAATGAGACAAACAGAGGAAGGTCGCCGGAGATGAGCTTTTCCGTCTAGGTCCATCAATGACCCTTGGAGGGTTCTTCACTTGATTATTCTCTATTTTTTTATATTTATAAGTATGAGCTTTGTGGAATAGTTTTAGTATTTAAGTTCGGAAAAAAGTGGTTAAAAATAATGAGGGAGGTGTGTCAAAGAAATTGGTGGAGAAGGAATAGGGAAGGGCGGTGGTTTGGAAAAGGAAAATGGGACGGGAAAGGGGGAGGTGATTGTTTGGAGAGACGATGGGTTTGTTTGGATGGAAGGTGGTTTTGGGTTTTGCTTTTTACTTTTATTATTTAATTTAATGAATTTCTTTCTTTTAATTATTGATTGTAATTTTTAATTTTAAGTTACACATGTTAATTTCTTATTGGTTCATTTGCTACGTAACCAGCGATTGCATTTCACGCATGTGATCTGTTGTGCAAGTAAAAGTGTCTAGTTGGTTAATTGGAAAGTGAAGGTGTTCAAATGATCGTTGGGGACAACTTAAAGGGGCCATTTATGTATTTCGCCTTAGGTTTTCTGATTTAAAAGGATTTATTGTGAAGTTGATAGCCGCTTTAACCAATATTGTTTGATAGAGATAATTTGTGAAATCTATGACAGTCAAACTTCTCTATAACAATCTTGTTCGTTCTGATATTTTTTATCTGCTATAATGAAGTACTATCATAGAGAACATGTATTACAACATAATATGATGATTCCAAAGAAAATTTAATCATTATAATAAAATATTATTATTAAGGATAACTGTTATAAAAAAATTCGTATTCGTTTTCTTTTATTTATTAATTTGAAGTACGTATCAAACTGGAGTGGCTTAAAGTCAAAAGAATTAGAGCCGGTTTGGATTAGCTGATTTGAAGTAGCTGATAAGCATTAGGTGCTGAAAAGCACTTTTAAGTGCTGAAACTGATTTAATAAATAAGCAGTTACGTGTTTGGGTACAAGTGCTGAAATTGATAATAAGTTGCTGCAGTATTTGATAAAAAAGTGCTGATAAGCTATTTTTCTGTTAAAATGACTTAAATAACCTTAGAATTGTTTACAGTTATAAGGGCGTAATTTCATTAAAATTTTAAATACCAGATCGATTCAAATACAAAATATTCTATTTGTCATTCTATTTTAAATACAACTATGCTTAGATAAGATAATTTTTATGATAATATAATTTATTTTATGATAAACATATAATCATAAGTTACAATAATTAATAAATTGACAAAAGTTTCTCAATAGAAAATAAACCTAAATAGGACAAATTATTTGAAGAGAAACAAACATTGTCTTCATCACCACAACACTTAGAAAATAATACACCAAACATTTGATATGTCCTCATTTATTACATACAGTTCAAAGATTAATACATAATCACATAGGTATAAGTATGCAAAGAATAGAGAATTTGCTTATCTTAAATAGTCAATAAGAATTGCAAACTTGAAGAGGTGGGGGGAGGGGAGGGGGGTTTAGGTTGAATACTTGAGGCAGTGAATATCGATGTAGGAGTTCTGTTCTAAAAAGGAATGTTTTAAGGATAAAATAGTAAAAATTTTGGTCAAATTTAAAGTGATTATAAGCTAAAAATTCATAAGTTGGGGTAACCAGCTTATGGCTTTTGGCTTATTTTTGACTTATAAGCACTTGGCTAATAAGTACTTTTACCAAACGCGTAGAATAAGCTGATAAGTGCTTATAAGCTAGTTTGACCAGCTTATAAGCTTAGCCAAACACCCTCTAAGAAAAAAAAAAGATTAATTACTTTGGGGTTCTAGTGTCACAACTTCTCTATAGGGCAGTATCATATAAATTATACATAGATAGATTAGAGGTATTTGTAACATCTAAATGGTCTTATGTAACATTGAAAGTTATGAGAACTTCTTTCAAAAAGATATACTTAGTTTTATAGAAAAACTAGTTGGATGTAGTCCGGGCTGTGCCGGGGCCCAAGTTTTATTTAACATAAAAAAAAAACTTTTGTTTACAAGTCATGAGACAAAGCTGGAAGAAATCTATACAATTTGATTCAAAATGTTTCAAAACGAAGAGTACAAAATGCTACAATTCTACCAGTTCCCTAATACTTGTGTTATTACGAAGTAGAATGTTTTTGCCTCATGGCCGAGACAACAAGCTAATCTGAAAAATACACAAGTAAAAAATATCTTAGCACATGTGTGTAATACAAATTATCAGAATGGAAAAAGTAGAATCATCCATGTCTCTTTGAAGTTCAATACTTATATAAGTGAAACTCTATGAATTGTCAAAACTTATAAAAGTTAAAGCCCCTGAAAAAACTTGCAAGCGCTAAGAAATGTAATGAAAACTTGAGCTAATACCAGTTATTGTCCATAAAAACATTCCGGCTATAATTGTTTAAATCTCCAAACCCCCTTAAGCTAAATTTAGTAGAAGTTAGCCCAAGAGAAGAGACTGTAAAACGAGCAGACCTACTAAAATTAAGGCTAAGCTCATCAAATTTTATCCCATAAGAGTCTCCAGACAGATCTATGTTTACCTAATGATGCTTTTAATATATGTTAGAATAGATCAATATGTGTTGCTGCTGCTTCATTTCAAAGTGAATCTTTCAGGCATTACTTTCAAATTAGGTATCCACAGTTATTTTAGGCATAAAGTGAATTGAAACTGTACCTCTGCACTTTCCCCATTAAAAAAGATTATATCTGTGTTGTGTTTACCTGTACTCTGTTTTTACATGAATGACATTTTACCTATGACTACCAGAGCAAAACTGGAAGAGCTAAAAAATGATATATTAAAAAGAAATATATTTGGAAAGGTTGCTGCTTTTATGTACACTGTAGAATTCCAGAAACGTGGTCTTCCACATGCACAAGCATTGAGAGTATAAATGCAATTTTAAAAATTCCTATGATTAGAAAAATAATGTTGACAGAATTTTTTGTCATAAACCAAACAGATGATTATGCTATAGAACTTAAGCTACTATATAAAGAGTTTCCAGAATACAAATATGCTCTCCGGTGGAAAAGTAGTTGTTTTTGGAGGTGATTTTAGACAAATAGACCAATATGAAGTAGTAAAATTTAAATAATTATGAAAATTTGAAAAGCAAACTCATTTGCTCTACAGGTAAGCTGGAACATCAGTCCAAATGCACTGTATCACTTAATCAAAGGCTCCTATAAATTATTTTATCATTTTCCTTCTGCAATTTTAGTCTTTCTTCATATTTTTAATCTTCATTTTTTCTCCTCCAAGATTTTAATTTTTAGTAGTTCAACGTAATTTCTTGCTAATTTTTAGTTCAAAAATTTAAGGAATGTCTAAATGCTTCGCCTCAAATTTGACCAGTACACCCTGCTAGAAAAGAAAAGCCTAATTCGTTGAGTAATTTTCTCAAACACCTACAGGCAGAGGCTAAAACAGAAAAGCAGAAGCTACCACGTAGAAAGACAAGAGCACATCGATAATGGGAATAGTATAGGGTAAATTGATCTCACCTGGAAGTGATCAAAAGAGTAGCGAAAACAAATCCTAAGAACAGAGCGAAACTAAACAACAAACAGAGTGTAAACTGATTGAAAATTGTAGGGGAAGAAAAGTAATATCTGATATTGCCCACCGTTTACCCAAAAGCAAAAACAGCAGATGGCGTTCTCTCAGGAGTATGAGTCAGCAGACCGAGTAGAAGCAATTTGGGAAACCTGATCTTTAGGAATGAAACGGAATTCCAAAAGGCTGCTTACTTGGGAGGTGAATATTTCTAAATTTTTTCGTGATTTGAAATCCACTTAGAGATAACTCTCTGTTATAGATTAAGAGAATGTAATGTAAAATGACCAAGATATCCACTTAGCACAAGCAGCCATGTTGACGGAGACCTCTCTTATAGAATAAGAGAACATTAGATACAAAGTTAGAAAAATATGGAAAAGTTTCATATAAGTCATGTATATATATGCCTGGAAAAATAAAATATCTATATTTATAGTACGACAAAGTGCATTATCCTAATTACTAATACCTTAAAACTAATGATCAATTCATTGATGGTGAAAGTTTATCTTATTAAGTCATGATGAAACTGATTTGTGCTTATCATTCAACATGTCTCGACAAAAAACTTTTTTTCCTTTTCTTTGAATGGGCTAACATGAACTGTCATTTCTTATGTTTCTACTTTCTAGATTCATCACCTCTTAGATATTAATAGTTACTTTTTCGATTTTAATGTTTTCCTAAAGGGTCATTGAAAAGAAATGTTTTTGATTTTACTTATTGAAAAAGAAATAAAGTTAATTTGGTGCGTTTTCATGCAACCTAATTTGAATTGGACGGAGCTTGATAGATATACGGACGGACAAGGATCGCTTGAGTTAGGAAAGAGATAATCTCAATCGAACAACAACGGGTCAACATTTCGACGAAAGTTCGAAATAACACCCTTAAAGCCAAGGGCCATCGCCAAAGAGAAGAGTTCGACCTCAATCGAACAACGACGGGTTAGCATTTTGACAAGTTCAAAATAACACCTTTAATAATCTAACCTTGGAGGAGGCGGATTAGGAAAGGGAGATTAATTCATTTTGGATAAAAACTTCTCTCTTGCTCTCTCATCTCTCTAAGATTATCTCTTTTCTTCTCTCTCATATATAACACCTAATCCGCCTCCTCCAAGGCATCCAGATGTCGTGCCGCGACATGTCGCCCCGCTTCGAAATGAAAGAGGTACGCCCCCATTATTATCTGCTCATAACTTTTGTGTCTCCCCTTCAGAAATAGTGTACGCACTGGAGAAGCTGGGCTCGAAGGTGCAGTGGCCACAAAAAATGAAATCAGACCCTAGTGCAAGGAGGTCGAACGTCCTATGCGAATTCCATCAGGAAAGAGGACACAAGACCGAAGATTGCATAGGTCTGCGACAGGAGGTGGTCAGAATGCTGAACCAAGGATACCTGAAGGAGCTGCTCAGCGATAAAGGAAAGGCTAATTTCGCCAGAGGACGCGACCAATCCCAAGGACCACCAAAACCACCTTCTCCAGCACGCACCATACAGATGATCGTCGGTGGCGGCGACGACTCGACAATAAATCACGTAAAGTTCACCACCACACACAAGTTGAAGCGCACGATCGCTCACGAACGGTATGATGACTTCGAAAATAGTATCACCTTCGATAAGTCTGATACCGACAGTTTGTCTTTCCCTCATTACGATGCTTTAGTTATAACTTTACGCAATGCTGATACTGATGTGAAAAGAATCATGGTACACGACGGAAGCGGTGCGTGCATTATCCACCCAAGAGTTCTCATGCAAATGAGGCTCGAAGATAAGATAATACCGCATTGCATAACACTAACGGGTTTTAACAATGCAGTAGAGCGAACCTCCGGAGAAATATCACTGCCAGTCTTGGCAGGGGGAGTCACGCTGGAAACCACATTCCACGACATGAATCAGGAAACGGCTTACAATGTCATCATAGGGCGTCCATAGATACACGCCATGCAAGCCGTTCCCTCGAACTTCTATCAAGTAATCAAATTTCCCACCCCATGGGGAATATTCAGCATTCGAGGTGAGCCACGTACCACCCAGTAATGCTACCGGATCGCCCAAGAATATACACATACCAACAACAACCCGCCGGCAGAGGTCATTAGGGACCCAGACGTTGTAGAAGCTTGCAAAGTGACAGCCGAGAACCTCGACCCGGTCTAGCTGGACGACAAAAAAGCCCGGCCTCCGACCCAGGTAAGACCGAATTCTTAACTAACCATGCAGATCTATTTGCCTTCTCTCATTCAGATATGTCGGGGATCCCAAAAGACATCACCACGCACAAACTGAACGTCGACCCACTTTATCCGCCCGGAGGAAATTCAACGGAGGCAGTCAGTAAAGAAGTGGACAAACTACTAGCCAACGGTTCCATCAGAGAATCGAAATACCCCCAATGATGGGAAATGGAGAATAAAGTGATGCCCTTCGGACTCAAAAACGCGGGAGCCAATGGAAGTTTATATCGACGACATGTTAGTAAAATCGGCAAAGAAGGAGGCCCATATTGATCATTTGAAGCCTTCGAGATACTGAGGCAGTACGGGATGAAGTTGAACCCAGAAAAATGTGCCTTCGGCGTGGCCTCGGGAAATAAAAACTGACGGGGCGAATGTCGAGGTGAGGTACCCACACCTCAAAAAATTAGCCCTGGCGCTGGTCGTAGCTTCACGAAAGCTTAGACCCTATTTTCAATGCCATCCCATAAATGGGCCTTAAGCTCAGCGAACATGACATAACCTACCATCCAAGAACCGCCATCAAGTCGCAGGTACATGCCGACTTTGTCGCCGACTTCAGTGCGCGGATATTGCCAGAGGTGGAACAAGAGGCCCTCCGCGCCTCTGCTTCCTCGAAGTCCCACGGGTCCATACGATGCCACGAGATGACTAACAACGAGGCCGAGTATGAGGCTGTGATTGCAGGTATGAAATTAGCCATCAAATACGGGGCCCGTCGACTCATCTCAAAACCAAATAACTAGGACTTACCAAATCAAAGAGCAAAGGCTACAAAAATACCAATCAGAAATCCATAAGTTGATGCCTGAGTTCGACGAATGTCGCTTCGAGCAAATCCCCAGGGCACAAGTTTGTATCCTATCTGTAGGACGGAACACTCCCATACGACAAAAAATAAGTGCCTCGGGCCGCATCAAACAAGGCAAGTATTAGAAGAGGTGCACGAGGGCCATTGTGGCACCCATACAGGAAACCGCGCTCTCGTCCAATGCCTCATCCGCGCCGGTTATTACTGGCCTACCATGAAAAAAGAGGCAGCAGATTATGTCCGAAGATGCGAACAGTGCCAAAAGTATGCCCCCATGATACACCAGGCGGGGGAGCTCCTCCATTCAGTCACCTCGCCATGGCCCTTCATAAAGTGGGGAATGGATATAATCGGCCCCCTGCCAGCAGGACGAGGAAAGGTATGCTTTCTTTTAGTTCTAACTGACTATTTTTCTAAATGGGTGGAAGCAGGTGCGTACGCACAAATACGCGAGCACGAGGTCATCGCCTTTATATGGAAAAATATCATATGCCGTTTCAGCATCCCCAAAGAAATCAGTTGTGACAATGGGCCCCAGTTCATCGGTAGGAAAACGATTGAGTTCTTCGAGAAATGGCACATCAAGCGGATACTCTCCACTCCGTATCATTCTGCCGCTAACGGCCAAGCCGAGTCTTCCAACAAAACAATATTGAACATATTGAAAAAGAAGCTCGAAGAAGCTAAAGGGCTATGGCCCGAATAACTACCTGAAGTATTATGGGCGTACCGGACTACGCCCAAATCCAGCATGGGAGAAACACCGTACTCACTGGTCTACGGGACCGATGCGGTCATACCCGTCGAGATCGGGGAACCAAGCCTGAGATATTCCCATGCCAGCGGGGCAGACAACGACGAAAGTACGTTGCAAGATCTAGACGAAGCCGAAGAACGAAGAGACATGGCCCATATAAGAATGACAGCCCAAAAACAACAAGCAGAAAGATACTACAACAAGAAAGCCAAAGTAAGATCGCTCAAAGTCGACGACTACGTCCTCAAAGCCAAAACACTGCATCGAAAGACCCGAATGAGGGAAAATTGGGGACCAACTGGGACGGACCATACAAAATCATAGCAGTGGCGAACAAAGGAGCGTTCCAACTAGAAATAATAGAGGGAAAACCACTCCAAAACAATTGGAACGTCGCCCACCTCAAATATTTTCACTTCTGAAAGGCATCTCCTAAGTCGTACTCTTTTTCCCTGACCCGAGTTTTGTCCCAATTGGGTTTTCTCGGGGAGGTTTTTAACGAGGCGGCAAAGGGGATACCCGGTGGCACCAGAGCGCAGATTCATCATACCGGCCAGTCGACATGGTCCGTAGGCCAATATAATGAAGGGACTACACTAGTTATTCTCCATTGTATGAACAGGTCCCCATTGTATGTATAGAATTCTCCATTGTATGTATAGAATTCTCTATTGAATGAACAGAAATCTCCATTGAATGAACAAAATCCTCCATTCTACGAGCGGAAATCTCCATTACACGAACAAGAGTTAATCTCCATTACACGAACAAAAGTTAATCTCCATTATACGAACAAGAGTTAATCTCCATTCTACGACGGATATCACTTCGACGACAGTCGAAGCGACATCCTAATGGCCAAGGCCATCGACATCGGTTCGACCTCGTTCGAACTGGGACTCAGGCTAAGTGCCTTCGCCATCAAAGATTAACAGTTCGACCTCGTTCGAACTGGGACTCAGGCTAAGTGCCTTCACCATCAAAGATTAACAGTTCGGCCTCGCTCGAACTGGGACTCAGGCTAAGTGCCTTCGCCATCAAAGATTAACAGTTCGACCTCGTTCAAACTGGGACTCAGGCTAAGTGCCTTCGCCATCAAAGATTAACAGTTCGACCTCATTCGAACTGGGACTCAGGCTAAATGCCTTCGCCATCAAAGATTAACAGTTCAACCTCGTTCGAACTGGGACTCAGGCTAAATGCCTTCGCCATCAAAGATTAATAGTTCGACCTCGCTCGAACTGGGAGTCAGGCTAAGTGCCTTCGCCATCAAAGATTAACAGTTCGACCTCGTTCGAACTGGGAATCAGGCTAAGTGCCTTCGCCATCAAAGATTAACAGTTCGACCTCGCTCGCACTGGGACTCAGGCTAAGTGCCTTCGCCCTCAAAGTTTGACAGTTCGACCTCGCTCGAACTGGGACTCAGGCTAAATGCCTTCGCCATCAAAGATTAACAGTTCGACCTCGTTTGAACTGGGACTCAGGCTAAGTGTCTTCGCCATCAAAGATTAACAGTTCGACCTCGTTCGAACTGGGACTCAGGTTAAATGCCTTCGCC